TCCTATTATGACAGCTAGCAGCAAAACAGAATAAAATGTTTTCTGAGATACCTAGCTGAGGACCACAAGACGCTGAGAGTCTCCAAACTCCAGTGCAAGATCTTCAGGGAGTGAGTCTGTCTTACAAAATCCTTCTGACAGCAATTCTGCTAAAATGGGAATAAATTGCATGGTACAATAATACCAACTGAAACAAAAATAGCTGATATCTAATTGTCAAGTTCAATGATTGGTGTGGTGGTATACGGAAATCAGGACAATGCTGCATTTCATCATTCAGTCTCTAAAATGCATCATGCTTAGCATAATGGGCATCATGGAAACAACTTGCAAGTATTCCATGAAACACTTTGCAAAGAACTCAAAAGATGGCCACTGACATCACCATCACGTCTCCAAGGTTGGAACTTAGATGATCTACCCAGTCTGACAACTTATATTGATATAGTACTTTTAACATAGTAAAGCACCTAGCTATTATTTGTAGATTTATATGCATTTAATTGTAGGCAATGGTAGACATTAATAGAAGATCCACTTGTGCTCGTTTAAATATGCAAACAAACAATGGGAGGTGCATATTTGAAATCTGCACATAAGAGTTTAAAGGTTGGCGCAGTGCTTCCTTTACAACATGGCATTTTGCAATATAATAAGCAAGGTGTTTCAAAAGGGCATTATGAAACAAAATTTCATAGCTAGTCACATCCAGAGGTATTATGGCAGAAGGCCAAAGTGTATCTTAAAAAGTAAGCGGTAGAGAGGCAGAGAGAATTCCATAGCTTACAATCTTGGCAGCTGAAGGTCTGGCAGCCAATGATGCAGCGATTAAATCTGGGATACTCAAAAGGCTGCAATGAAGGCATACACACATCTCAAAAGAACTCAGCAAAAGGAGATCAGATACAGAAAGGGATGCCATGAAGGGATTTGGAAAAAAAAAGATACCCGTTCAAACATACATTAATAAACAACAGAACAAAGCCAACCCAGTATCGGTTGAGAAAACGATCTCTGGAAAGATATGCCATCAGGAGCGTAGCAAAGTGAGGGAGAGACGAGTGTGTCCTGCTGGTGATAATCACGTCAGTGGAATGCAGATGGAACAGAGTTACTGTAGAGTAATATGATCCAAGATGGGAGCAATACTGGACAAGTCAGATCCCAGACAGAATCCTTGCTTGATAGTTCAGAGCTTTATTTTTACAGTTTGGCTATTGTGGTGGATAGTCACCGAACATGAATCTGTCAGTCAATGTTGTTTAACAAAAGAACAAGTTTGTTACGCAAAAAAAACTGTATGTATGTATGCTTTAGATTGAAAAGATTTCAACATAAACAGCAAAAATAGAGTTGAAAGCTTTTCCCATCAATATCCTTTACAGGTACTTAATCCCAGTAAAGTATCAATCCTGTTAACAATTCTGAGTAAACTGACTTTTCCCATTTTTGATAGTCTAGATTCCTTTCCAATTCTGACACCTCAGATATTTCTACAAATTCTTAACCTGGGGACTGCACAAACCAAACACTGAGTCTGGAGAATTTTACAAAACTAACAGACTACACTTTGGCTGGGAAGGAACTGTTAGTTTGAACTGAAATCAGATTCTTCTAAACTAATAGTGGTCCCTGACCATTTTTTTCTTCTACATGCTGTAATATTCAGCATTTACAAACGCTTCCTCAATTAACAGCCCGGGGTATCCTACTAGGCTCTTAAGCCACATGGTTTCTTGGAAAAGATGGTTTAGTTCACTGCTCTAAATGAGTGTCTGACCCCTTAATAAAGTTACCTTCACAGAACTGAAACTCCAAAATTATTTTACCTTTACTTTGAAACCCAAATTCCAAAAGAGGATAACAATAACAGATTAAAAAACATTTATAAGGAATGCAACGGGTAAAGAGAAAGAGTTTATGAAGAAGATTTGAAACAATAAATTTTCCTATCTATGTACTGGGGCACATAATTGATGATTGAGACTGGAACCAAAATATTTGTACAACTTCCTCACAATGGAGCAGAGAAGCTTATCAAGTCATTGCATAGGCCACAAGAGTAATGCATACAATTCTGGACATTCAGAAGAACAAAGTATCAGGGTTATGGCTAGAGGACTGAAAGAGTTTAACCTACACAATGTCAGAAGTTAGGAGATTTATTCTATGAAAAATTGTGTGAAGAAGAGTTTTATTATTCCTGAAAGAGTAATTAAGGAAGCAAACAGTGAATTGGTAACAAAGGTAACAAACTGCAAACTATTAGAAAGAAAAGAAGCTTGAAGATATTTTATATACATAGGGCACATTATATTTCTTTGGGACTCCAACGACTCCAAAATAACATCTGTGAAGCATGTATGCATAATCATGGGACAAATCAAGCTGAACCTGATACTGGTGAGTTGTTAGCAAGCATATGAGCAGTAGGCAGATCGTGACATCTATCAGCACTCATCTGATGCCAGTTGTGGCATCTTGCAGTTCAGTACACCAACTCATGCATTCTCTTCACCTGGCACAACTACCTTCTGGTTAGTTTCTAACTAATTTCTTCTAGCTATTATTATAATTCTCTGTGCGTCTGGTATTTTCTGTTGTTGCTTCAAGTTGAAGTGGTTTACAGGGAGTGGTGGGGCATGCTAAGAAAGTTCTCACTAACTTCAAGGTATCTGCACAGACCAGTAGATCCAGGTAATGGTCCACGAGTAGATATGCCTTGGAGATGAAACAAACATTACAGAGAGCTGGTCGAGGTGCTGCAAGAGGATGAAGGAGAGGGTTGAAAGGCTCTTAAAGGGTCTGGGAAAGATTCTCCCTCTTGGATCTCAGTGAGGAACACTATTAAATGTCTAAGCTTCCTTGAGGACTTTTTCACTGAAATATGCCATCTGCTGCAAACCTGAAGCCAGCTACAATTCATTCTCTTGCCAGAGGCAGGTAAGCAAAGCAGGTACTTGGCTTCACTCAGATTGTAGGCTTTGCTTTAAGGGCATAACATATCATGCAGGGCAATGCCCTGTATTAGGAGAGGAGTCATGATACCTGCTCTGAATTACGGGTGGCATGGCGGCCCAGTGGTTAGCACTGCTGCCTCACAGCTCCAGGGGCTCAGGTTCAATTCCAGCCTTGGCCGACTGTCTGTGTGGAGTGTACACATTCTCCCTGTGTCTGTGTAGGTTTCCTCCCACATCACAAAGATGTGCAAGGTGACAGGGAAAGGGTGGGTTTGGGCAGGATGCTCTCTGGAGGGTCAGTGTGAACTCGATGGGCTCAATGGCCTGTTCCACACTGTAGGGATTCTATTCTATGATCATTTTAATTTGAACCAACATAGCCAGGTCATTGGATGACAAGGGTCATCTACAAATTATATGGTTCGTGACAAACCAACATGTGGGCATCATACATGGAATGAAAACCATTCTACCTTGAGTCTGGTAAAGGGAGTGCAGGACAAGGAACGAGGTCCGTCTGGGAGAGAGGATATCACTCAGAGGGGTCCAGTAGGGTGACATCTTGATGGGTGTAAGAGGTTGGAGGGAACTGTAGGTTTATTTTGAGGAGGGGTTACGTTTGAAGTTTGTTTAATAGTTACTCAGGAGTCAGCCTATCTAGGCTTTGATTTAAATGTAAACTATTAAAGTGTTTAGGCATTTTGAGAAGTACTGGTTCTGAGGCTAGAACACCAAAACATTTTTAAGAAAGAGTTAGATGTGTTTTTTTAGGGCTAAAAGGATCAAAGGCATGGAGAGAAAATGGGAACAGAGTTAGGAGTTAAATAATCTGCATGCTCACAATGAGTGCTAGAGTAGATGCAAAGGGTTGAATGGCCTACATCTGCCCATATTTCCTAGGATTTTACATGTAATGCAATTAGTGCAGAGGTAAAAAGTTTGGATAGAGATACAGCAGAAGTAGTTTTGGTTTAGGAGGTTTTATCTTGCTGTAATGGAGGCAACAGGAGGAATCTTGTGCACTGGGAGGTCATGAGTTTGGTGGCAGGAAAGGTATTTAATTTGGTGGTGTGGTGACATAGCCAAACACAGCTTCCGTTGGTCTAAGCTTGGGGTGGGCAAGTCCACGATCCACTTGTCCACACCACGCCATTGAGTCCCTGGGTCAGTTAAGGACCACATCACGGCCTGAGCGCCCCAATGTCAGGATTAATCCAGCTGCTGCTTACCCTGACGCCAGGTCCCTGATAAACTGCCTATAGGGGTTAGTCTGTCAAGGAAGTGAGCAGAAAGCAGAGGATAGCCACCACCCATCCTGGCTCTGACCCTGTTGCAACCGCAGATAACCCTAATCCAAAAATCACTTATCTCACCCCTTGGTTTTGGAGATCCAGGGTGCTCTTCCAGCAGCAGCCTCAACCATGGTGCTGCTGGGTAAGAGAGCCTCTGGTTTCCTATTGGTCAGCAGCATGTGATGAGCAAGACTTTCATCTGGCCAGCATGCTCTGGTGGCCTCCCCAGTAATTGATTGGCCTCATATTCAGAGGGCCTTGCTTGTTACAGTCAGCTTGGATTTGTTGCCAAACTCTACTGTGAATGACAAAGTCTGCACACCAATACTGAATCAGTGTGAAGAATTCAGTTTCTCAGTAACAAATCACTCACTCCTCACACACAAAAATAAAGTCAACTCTGGTGATTTTGGTGAAACTACCTTGTTCAGGAGGCCTTGATTGAGAATGCACAAGGGCTGTGTTATTTCAGCAGCTTAACTGACAAGATAATGACCTGACCGTTTCAATTCGAGGGAGTCTCATGCACAATCAAAACAAAAGTGTTTTGGAGACTGCTTTATCTGACAGGGTTGTCGCTGTTGGCCATTTACTATTTACAGAAGCATCCCAATATTTTCATTATGTAATTAAGTAATATTAATGTACACACTTGAATAAAATTCCAATTTAATTAAATTTTAATGTTGGGAAAAGCTTAACTAAAAGCTTAAAAAAATGCTTGAATGATCGCACAATTAAAACCCACCTCTCTTCCTTTGAGAGTGACCAAAGCAGCAAGTGGTTTGGCATAGAACCTGCTGTAGGAGAATCCCAAGCAGCCGTACATACTATTAGCTGTAAGCTTCAGGGCCTTCTGTCGGATATCGTACTGCAAACCAAACAAAATCATACGTCATTATATATAAAGCACCTTCAAAAAGATATCTAGCTCAACTAAAATCTTAACTTCATTCAGGAGCAGACTAAGATGATTATCTTCTGGTGTCAACAAGCTGCAGGTCCCTCCCACAGTATCTGAAGATGCAAAGTAAATGCCATTTTTGAAATATTAACCAGAGAAAACCATAGGATCATTGTAAATGCCATAAAAAATTGCGATAATCAAACAAATTACCAGCCTATTACTATTGCCTAATTCAACACCGGCTTCAAACTAAAGACATTCTATATTTCTCTCTCGCAGACATCTCCCAGAGTGACAAGTGATGTTATAAATATTAAAAATGTTTCAGTGTTTTTTTTTCCCCAAAGACAAATCATCTCAAAATGCTGCTGTGAAGTGATAAATCAGTAATACATCCAGAACTGTCATATTACTAAGGCAGCAATCGTACTAACGTGTTTCTTATCATTACAATCCCAGCTATGATATAGTTCAGCTTTTACAGTCTGCCCAAGTTGCCAGTCAAATGATAAATGAGAACGGTTCCTCCTGCTTCAGTGAAGCACAGGATTTATTAATTGTGAAAATTACGAGGCAGGGGTGGAAACAATAAGAAAGCAGACAGAAATTTGAAGCATGATATCTGTTGTAAATATCCGGAAAGTTGGAGACTTCAGCTAGTTGAAATCTCCATTTGCTACTCCACCCCCACACAAAGACAAGAGAAGTAGCCACTAAATGCTTGAAGATTTTAAGGAAGTAAAAAGCCTTTAAGTGCTGGAACCATTGTGGGTAAAACCTTGCTACCTATTGTTACCTACAATTTATATTTAAAATGGTGCAATTTTGTGCATTTTAAAGCAGCAGAAAAAAACTTCCATACAGTACATTCTAGACAGAAAAATAAAACCTTACAAGTCAACAGTTTCTCATCCTCCTTCCCCCCCACCACAGAAAAATTCAGATAGATATAACACTAAAAGAAATCATAAATAATAATGGGTTTCTATGCAAAATTTTTGTCCCTTCTGCCAGAACACATCTGACTTCATGCTTCAGCAAATATACATAGAAACATATGAAAAAGGAGTTGGATTAGAACTGTCAGCCCCTCAAACCCGCTCCACTATTCAATAAGACCGGGGCTGACCTGATTACAACATATTCCTGCCTAACTACCAATAAACATTCACCAAAAATCTATCTGCCTGTGCCTTGAAAATGTTGAAGCCCCCTACCACCACTGCCTTTTAAAGAACAGTGCTCCAATAATTCACAGCCTAAGTAAAAAAAAAGTTCTCATTGCTGTCTCAACAATTCATTTTGAAACAGTGATCCCAGTTCTAGATTCTCCCACAAGAGGAAACAACTTTTCAACCAAGTCGCCTCCTACTCTTCTAAACCCCAGTGGACACAATCCTCGCCTCCTCAACGTTTCCTCATAACACAACCCATTCATTTCAGATATTAGTGAAGTAAACATTATATTAGCTGCTTTCATCATATTTACATACTTCCTTTAGTAAGGATACAAATACAATACACAGTTTTCTAGAAACGGTCTCACCAATGTTGTTTACAACCAAAGTATAACTTCCATACTTCTGTATTCAATTTTCTTCAGAATAAAAAAAAACATTCTTTCAATAAACACAATTTTCCTAATTACTTGATGGATCTGCACACTAATCTTTTGTGTATCATACAGTATGACACTCCGGTTCTTCTGCATCTTAGAACTCAGAAATCTCTTACCCTTTAAATAATATGCTTCCATTAGTCTTTCCGCCAAAATAGACACTATATTACTCTATTACTCTATGACTCTTTGACTCTCAGTGGTTACAGAGTGACTGGGGGCATTGTTTGAAATATTCCGGAACTGGCTGGATTCCAGGAATGTTCCAACAAAACTGAAGAGCCTTTATTTAAACATTAGTCCGTGCAATGAGTTTGAGAGTTGGGACGTTATGTAATGGCAGTACAGGACAATGGTGAGGCTAATTTTGGAAAACTGGAAATAACTCTGGTCTTCCTGCTATAAGAAGGATGTTGTTAAACTTAGAAAATGTTCAGAAATATTTGCAAGGATGTTGCCAGGCTTGATACGTTTGATTTGTAGGGAGAGGCTGAATGGGCTGGGGCTTTTTTGCCTGGAGAGTCAAAGGCTGAGGAGTGACCTTATCAAGGTTTATAAAATCATGAAGGACATCAATATGGTGTATAGGCAAGGTCTTTTCCCTGGGGTAGCAGAATACAAAACTGGAGGGCATTGGCTTAAAGTGAGAGAGGGGAAGATTTAAAAAGGACCCAAGGAGTAACTTTTTCACGCAGGGGTAGTGCGTGTATGGAATGAGCTGCCAGAGGATGTGGTGAAGGCTGGTACAATAACAATATTTTAAACGTATCTAGATGAGTATATAAACAGGAAGAGTTTAGAGGCATATGAGCCAAATGCCGGAAAATGTGACTAGATCAGATTGGGATATCTGCTCGGCGCAGACGAGTCGGACTGAAGGGTCTGTTTCTGTGTTGTGTGACTCTATAATTTCATATTTTCCCACATTATACTCCATTTGCCAGATTCTTGCACACACTTAACTTATCTGTATCCTTTTGTAGCTATGTTATGTCGTCTTAATAATTTCCTTTTCTAACCTATATCAATCAACAACCATATCTTTAAGCCCTACATCCAAATTATTTCCATGCACTGTAAACAGTTGCAAGTCCCACCACTTATTCCTGTGGCCCACTGCTTGTTACATCTTACCAAACAGATAATGCCTTTTCTCTGCTTCTTTTCGACAGCCAATCTTCTATCCATGCCAATATGTTAGGTGGACACCATTAGCTTTTAGTTTCTGCAAGAATTGTTGATGTGGCACCACATCAAATGCCTTCTAAGTTCAGTACATCTACTTTTTTTTTTAAAAAAATTAGTATGGTCAAGACTAGGCATTTTATGACAAATAAAACACAACCTAAAACGCGAACCTGGGGACACATCACTGGAGCAAGTTCTTAATATCCAGACAAGGTTTCCATGGAATCTTAGAAAAATTCTAATACACAGGTCGTTCAGTACATCTGTTACATGCCATTCAACAATGATCTCCCACCTTCCTGAACATCACCCTGCAGTTGATGGTTCTTCAACTGGAGATCCAAGAACTTTTTAACCATTTTGAAAATTTCTGTCTCTACCACCCTATCAGAGTTGCGCATTCCAAATGCCCTCTGAAGAAAAAAATTCTTTGCCTCCCCTATAATCCTTCTACCAAAGACTGCACATTAAAATTTGTTTTTTTTAATCTTAATGTCAGTGGATTAGCCCTAATTACTCTGTTGAGGTCCCTCAATTTTATACATATCAACTAACTCTTTAATCCTTTTTGTTGCAGGTTGCGGGCTAACTGCTGTTTTATGTAGTTCTCGCGTTACCCATTTCCAAGGCACATTAGTCTATGCCTTGACTAATAATGGAAAACATGCCATATGCTTTTGTAATGACCTTGTCCTTTAAGGAACTGTGGACAAATAGAACAAGGTCTCTCTGTTCCTCCACACGACTCAGCATCTTCCCATTTATTTGCTTAACTTATTTGATTCAAACCCCCAGCTCCCACCAGATGAATTATCTCACACATCTCCAAATGAATTTCATTTTACTGCCCAGACTATCTAGATTGTCCCGCAGTCAAAAGCTTTACTTCTCACTGCCAATCACGTGGTTGATTTTGTATCATCTGCAAACTTCATCATGGCTGCTATATTTCATACAAACATGCAAAGAGGTCTTTTAGCCTATTGCCGGCTCTTTGAAAATACTATCCAATTTATCCCCCTCACCAGATTTTCCCATGTAGCTTGGGACATTTTTTTTTGCTTGATTGGCTTTAGCCATAGTAGTTTGTTGGGATACAAGTCATTGGCCAAGCTCAAACAATGTTCAGAAGACTATTAAAGCTCCAAACTGGATGGTGGTTAGACATCATCACGCATTGGAGTGGATAAACCAAGTCTTTCTCATTTGTGTAGATTCTCCTCAATCAAGATTTCATTGCATTCTCGGGGTGGAGGTGCTCACCTGGAGAAAATGTTACATCAATCTCTAAAGGGGAAGCTTTGGCCTGTTTTCACATCGAAAATGCAAAGTGCTCAACTTTGCGATACAGAGCTGTTTTAACCAATGTACTGATTGCTTCATGAAGCAAAGCAAAACCTACAGACAGAGATCACAATTCTTCAAGATGCCCTCAGTGACAAACACACATCATATTCTGAAAGGCATCATCTTTCTCAGTACAATTCCTCAGCCAGCTTGCACTCTCTGCAGAATTTTCAGCATTCAGACTATTAAACCCCTTCATTGTGTTACAGTCACCACAGAAACCAAAAATTCTGAAAAAGGAATTTTAACTACGCTTAATAGATGAAAGGATGACATAACAAGATTTCACAATTTAAGACATTTTCTGTAACAAAGGGCTAAACGTTACTGACTGAAAAGAATAGCCCAGATTTTCTGATGGTCAATGTTTTTGCAGCGTAGATGGGAGTTGCGCACAGCGGCTCTGCAGACTTTGAAGGAATTGCCCAGGAAACGTAAGATTCCACTGGGCAATTCCATTATGCCTGGAACCTTCTGAACGTATTCATTTAAATTGTAGGATTGCATTGTAGTTAAGTAAATAGTTAAACTCAGGAAAGGTTAGGCAATTAAAAACCTAGTCAAACTCCTGAACAACTGATTAACTGACACCCAGCTAATCTAACACCCACAACTACTCCTACCTGGACCCCTTACAATCACCCCCTGATGACTCCCATCCAATTCCGACAATGCCTAGACCCGCTATCTCCCACCTGCCCTAAACACTCCATCAAATATCCGGCCCCTTGCTAGCGAGCATCCTACCCCCTCTGCGCCCTATCTCCCCACCATTCCAACTTCAAGCTTCACTTATTTTACTTACTGCTTCACAGCAGCTGTCATAGTGGCAAACTCTGATTCTGAAATTTCAGAATGTGGCAGTTGACTGCTTTGAGAAAGGGGACCTGGCCTGCCCTTTTCCGACTGTTCAATGCTACGAGGGGCCTGTCAGAACAGAACTGCGGCCACACATTTCTGAAACAGTCCTGATTGGCATCTTGTATCAGAAATGCAGATCGCATTTTTGTGTAAAAAAGGAGCAGGGTGGTAACCTGCACTAAATTGACACTCCTCTGGAAAATCTGGCCCTATCTTTGTAGGCAACTTGCACTTTAAATCATGGAACAGAGCAACAACCCATTACATTTAGTACAAGCAAGAACACAGATATACATTATACTATCCTTTAAGGAGAGAATCACTTCTCCCAGGGCCAGTCTAAGGCAATACTTAGCTCCCAAGGATATATTTCTGTTCCTTTCTCTACCTAGAAACTTTCAATCTTAGAACTGCCTTACAGAGTGGGGTTTGATTCCTTGGGAATTTTCCTTGAGTGTAACCCAGATGAATCTTCAAGCCTTGTTTTCATTCATGAACTTTCAATCCGAACACGCTTCCAGTTTTATTCCTGCATGGTGAACCGTAACGGCTTGCTGACTTTATTTGTTCACCTTTTCCCAGAACCCTGGCAGACCATTCCCTTCTCCGAGCTTCAAGGACACCTTAAACTTCCACTTCTTAAAGTTGTCTGGGTCATCTTCATGACCTCTACTTAGTAGCGTGAATCACATGGGCCTTGTGCCCAGGCAGGAATGGTGATAAGTTGCCTTCAGACCGCAACCCTCTTTTATTTTGCAATTAAATATAACAAGTAAGTAAATTTGAGGCACAACTGTTTACAAGCAAATATTCTCAACACTCCTCTAGAACTTTGGAGACTTACAGTCTATCCACTTTTAGCACACTTCCTGCTCTCCTTGTCTCCAAGGGTAAATATGTTGCACCTTCTTCCCAACAAACAATTTGGGGCCCCTTCAACCCATTAATCAAACCATCCGTTACAACACACACCAACGCCCCAAGCTTGTTGTCAGGTACATTTCAGAATCGGAGACAGAGGGCTCTTCATTTTATGTTAAAGATGCAGTTTAAAAAAAAAAACAAATCTTATAAACGTTATAAATGTAACAATTCCCAAGCACGTCAACCATATTGCTAAATTTAAAACAGTCAATGTACATTTGAAAAACTACCTGTAAATAGAGATCTGGGTTTAAGTCTGGTTGCTTCATCAGCTGTTTGACTTGACGTCGCCTCTCCACCAGCTTCCGGATTTCTTTGGGCAAAATACCCATTTCCTGATCTTGATCTGGTATTTCAGGGATCTCTTCTATTTCATTAGCCTTGGTAAAACAGTGCAGAGGACAGAAACAGAAGCAATACATTTTCACAATATAGTAAAGATATGCACTCTCAACTATGGTGAAAAGAAATGTTTTCTTCTATCTCAAGTTACAAAAATCAAGCAGTTCCCAAGCAACATCAGTAAAATCAACATTACTGGCACACAACAGAAAGTAGCAAATACGTTCTTTAGACTAATGTGCAATTGAAAAATGTAAATATTGTTATAACAATCAATAATATTGAATTGAAGTAAAACTGATAACCAGATAGAAATATACGCATTATTTTCTATATTATATCCCAATTATAGAAACTATGAAAATCTCAAATACCTTTACCTAGTGGAAGATTCAAATCAGGTTTCAGCACATTAGAATATATTATCTCAATGGAAATTAAATTTGCCTATGGTTTAAGTGAGAGTGGATTGGAGACAATTGATAAGGCTCAAACAAATTCAAGTAATCGAGGCAAAAAATTGAGAAAAAGTAAGTAAGCCAACAAACAAGGGCATAGAAGGCATCCGTGAAACAGGCAAGATAAAAAAGGTAATTTGGTGAACTAAACTAAGAATGTTACAGTGGGATCGAAAGAAATTACAATGTAATTATTCTACACATGAATAGGCTCCCTTCAGTCAAACTTGAAGACAGAGGGCATAAGAGTTGAAACTGGGAATCTCTCCAGGACTTGGACCATCAGATGTGAGAGCAGGTGTAGGCACTCGGCACACTGAGCCATCTCTGCTATTCAATGATATCTTGGCTGATTGGATAATGCTTAACTCCACTCTCCTGCCTTATCCGATAACCCTTTTCACTTTTACTGATTGAAAACTGTGCCAGCCTTTAATATATTTAACGACTGATAGTGTTAATTCCCCAGCTTCTACAGTCCTCTGCAGTGAAGAATTCATAAATTCACTAATCTGGGAAAAAAAATTCCTGCAATGACAGTATATATTTGCATAGATATGGGGAACAAGCTGAACTTGTTTTCTAGCATGATCTAAGAACTTCCTTGTATGGTTTTAGCAAGACTTCCTTTTCTGAATCGAAGGATTGTTGAACGATTACTATTAGTGGTACCACTTTCTCTGTAGCTGCTTCTTCCAATCTCCTAGGATGCAACCCCTCACACCCAGGGATGTATCTGCATTTAGCCTCATTAGTTTCCATTGTGCTTTTTGTCCAGTAATAGATATCATATCTATTTCCTCTCCACTTTTGCTCCTTGATTTCATACTTCTGGAATTCTAAATTCTAAACAATAGATTTAATATCAAAAAGAACTTCAATGTCTTTCCAGATATTTGACCATTCTGGTGTGAAAAGCATTATTATTTAGAATCTAATTTCAAGGATAACAAGGCGTAGAGCTGGATGAACACAGCAGGCCAAGCAGCATCAGAGGAGCAGGAAAGCTGATGTTTCGGGTCTAGACCCTTCTTCAGAAAATGAAGGGTGTAGACCCGAAACGTTAGTCTTCCTGCTGCTTGGCCTGCTGTGTTCATCCAGCTGTACACCTTGTTA